CGCGAGAGAGCGCTCGCCTGGCTTACCGGGCACCGCTCTCGAGGGGGCCCGCTGGAGTCCTCGTCGGGTCCTCCCAGAGCCCCTTCCGAAATCCTCTTCGGGCTCTGCGGCGCGGCCTCCGAGCGCTCCCAGAGGGCTCCAGTAGCAGAGAGAGTTAAGTCACGCAAGATAGCGCTCGCGCGACGATGACGAAAATTAGGATGATGGTGATGATGACGGCGATGATGGTGATGATGACGGCGATGGTGGTGGTGGTGGTAATGATGGTTATTGTGCTGATAGTGTTTAATAATATTGATGCTTATTGCGACGAGGATGTTACAGATGATGATGACGATGGCGATGATGAGCACGACGATGTTCTGTCTGGCGTCGGTGACGATGATGGTGATGTTCATGGTTTTGACAATAATAACGATTATGACTCCTTCTGCTCTTCGATCCGGCGGACACACTCCCTTGCGAAACCAACCCCTGGCATGCGCCAGAACTTGAGCGCGCGCGAAGCGCGCGCGCGAAGCTCGCGCGCGATTGCGTATACATTTACGTATACAGATGCGGCAGCAGTCCTTGCACTTAGGGATTATTATTCTATAGGTTTACGCCACATCCGCCGACCCCTATATAAACTACTGCGCCTCCAGGTCTGCATTTCAAGAGGCTTGTTCGAATCATGACACGGCGCTCGACATCGTTCCTGTTGCTTCGTTGTTGCTATCGTACCTCTTGGTGCTCTTTTGTGGCCTTTTGGTGGCATCTTGGCTTGTCTGCAGGCCATATCCGGTCGCCTTGAGGCATCTTGGGCCAAGTTTGGGGGCCTCTTGGGGGTTTCCTGGGGGCTTCTTGGAGGTCTTTGAGGTTCTCTCGGGGGTCCCTCAGGGCCTCTTGGGGGCGATATTGAAGGTTTCTTGGCCCGTCTGGGACGTTGTGAAAACCGAATCGGCGAGCATGCGAAAAATGCTTGTTTTTTGAAGGGAATGGGGCGATTTCTGTTTCTTGGGACCCTCTTGGGGCGCATCTTGGAGGCCTTTGGGGGCGTCTTGGCCGCCTGGAGGCCACCGTGGGCGTCCAGGGCGATATTTCGGCGAATCGTGGCCCCCCGGGACCGTCTGGGGAGCGTTTTGGTGCCTTCTTGGCCAGTTTGGGAGCCCTCCGCTCCCCCGTGGCGCGTTCGGTCCGGGGTCGGGCTGGGCGGGGGGGGGTCGAATTGCCGGTTTGGGGTCCCCGGGGGGGGATTATGGGGGGGGATAATCTCACACGCTTAGAGACCCACAAGGGGTCGGTGGATGTCTTTTCTGAGGAACTGGGCCTGCCCGTCGGTATGACGGCTATGTGGTCGCCATCGCCGCCTCGTCGTTGCCCGTCGTTTGGGTTTGCCCGTCGGCCTGGCGGCTATGTGGTCGCCGTCGCCGCCCTGTCGCTCTGGGCTTGCCCGTCGGTCTGACAGCTATGCGGTCGCCATCGCCGCCCAGTCGCCGTTTGGGCTTGCATTACTTTGCACTGCTTTGCGTTACTTTGCCTTGCATCACCTCAATGTGCATAGTACTGATCTACATTGGTACTTCGATTGCTTTGCGTTGTTCGATCGCTTCGCGTTGCGTTGTACTCATATGTGTTGATTACCAATGCTTCGCTTTGCTTTAGATATATTTGCATTACTTTGCGTTGCATTGCTTGGCACTGATTGGCATTGCTTTGCGTTGCTTCTCACTGCTTTGCATTGTGTCGCATTGCTTGCACCACATAGCATGCGCCGCATAGTTTACACTGCATATGTTGATGCACGTTGATTGCGCCACATAGCGTCCATCACATAACTTGCACAACATGTAGTGCAGCCTCACCTGTTATGCAAGAACGCACTGTTCGTGGCCCACGCTGGTTTTCATATATATATATATATGTACATATATGTGTGTGTGCGTAGGTATTTCATCCAGCTTGCACACACATGTGTGTATGATTATTTCGCTCTCTCTCTCTCTCTCACTCGCTCTCTCTCTCTCTCTCTCTCTCTCTATATATATATATACATATATATAGTTGTCATTGTACATATACATAGATATACATACACACACCTCCCTTCCCCAGTCTCCGTCGTTGAGCACATAATCACCTCGCCTTCGCACGCAGAAAATGATGCATGTTTGCGCATCTTGTCCACTTCCATGCTTGCATGATCCGCACACTCGCATGTTGAAAAAATCCCTGCTGTACCCAGTGGCGTCCAATCCATCCTGCCACCGTGCTTGGCTCAAGGACAAGAGAGCTGTTGGAGACCCGTTGGACTCTCTTGCGGGGCATCGTGGGTTCCCTTGGGGGCTCGGGGGCCACTCTACAGCGATCTTAGGAGCTTCTTAGGTCGTCGTGGGCGCTCGTAGTAAGGCGGCAATGGTCACTTCGTAAGTCCTGCCAAGAGCCCCCCAGGCTCTGCGTGGGCGCGTTAGGCATGAAAGCTCGTTCAGCGGTCGGTTGCAGTCTGCTTGGATCACTTTTGGTGCGTGATTGGTTTCCTTCTTACCGTCACACGCCTCGAGATTTCGGAAGGTTAAAGGGTGGGGGGTCCAGGTTTTCAAAGAAGGTTGGGAGTTCTTCGGAAGGTCGAAGGTTAAAGGAAGCCGTCTCGAAACTTCTTGCTTGGGACGGTAGTGCTGCGCCTTGGGGTCTCTAGGGAAGCTTCTTGGGGGGGTGTTCGGGAGATCTCGGGCCTTCCTGAGCCGTCTCGGAACGTATTTGTGTGTTTCGGGGGGGGGCTCTTTTGGTTCTTGGCGCAACCTTGGGCCGTCAAGGGGGTGTCTTGGACCCCCATCGGAGGCGTGTTTGAAATACCTTGGGATCATAGTGGATTGCTGTGGTCGGTTGCTAGAACCCTCTTGGGCAGTCTTGGAGCTTTCTCAAGCAATCTTGAAGCCATCTTGGGCCCTGAAGCCGAAAAGGCGAGAAAAGTTTAGGAAAACCAGTAATACATTGACAATTGTGATTGTCGAGGGCGGCCTCTCATGGAGCCTCTCTTGGAGGCTATTGCGGGCCTCCTGGGATCCTTTCGGGCTTCTTGGAACCTCTCGACAGCCCCCCATTTGTTTTCGGCGTTTCTTGGGAGACTCCTCCGGTTTCATGGCAAGTTTTGGGCGGGCTCATCTTCGGGAAGGGGGGCGGTTTGGGTCCTTCGGAGCCGTTTCAGTTTATTGTGTTTTGGGCAGTCTTGAAGCTCTCCGAAGACAGATTGAAGCTAAGGTAAGCAGCGAAGGCGAAGAGCTGAAGATCATCGAAAAGAAAACAGAAACTTAACACGTTGCCTTGTCGGAGCCACTCGCGGTGCGTCGCAGAGTCTTCCTTGGAGCCTCTTGTGGCCTCTTGGGATGCGCTTGGCCCTCTTCGAACCTCCCGAGGGCCTCGTGTGCCTTCTTGGGCTCTTCGTGGACTACTTTTAGATGGCCTTGGAGTGGTTTTTGACCGATCCTGCCTCTGGGAGACGCACGTTCTATACCCCACGGAAGCCCCGTAATTCACGAGAGTTTTGGAAAACGGGTGTTCAGGGCCCTCCGTAATCCTACGATCATTCGAGCGTTCACATGTGTATGAGCCTTTAGCCAGTCAACCACGTGTTGAAGGCACGGTGGCGGGCAAGTGACCCTCCGAAAGTGGTCGCTGCGTTCCCACATCCGTTCGCATTTTGTCGTACCCTCTCTTCTCTTCTGCTGCAGCGTGATGCCTCCGCCTTGTTTTTTAACATCGCGAACTGTCTGTCAACGTTATTTTATATCCGTAAGGGCTTCGCCCCATGCCGCCGGCCCACTGTCTGGGATAATGGGACATGCAAAAGCTAAATCCTGAGGTCTGGGCGCCGCCATGAAGCAGTGTCGGGACTTGTTTGTTTTTCGACCCTGACGCCACCGATCTGCGTGAGGGGTGCCACCGAATTTAAAAAAATGTAGCAAATCCCTTGTGTTTTTGGAACCGGACCTTGTCGATCCGCGTGAGGGGTGCCACCGAACTTCAAAAATGTAGCAAATCCCATGTGTTTTTGGACCCTGACCACGCCGATCTGCGTGAGGGGTGCCACCGAATTTCATAAATGTGGCAAATCCCATGTGTTTTTGGACCCTGACCACGCCGATCTGCGTGAGGGATGCCACCGAATTTCAGAAATGTAGTAAATCCCTTATGTTTTTGGATCCTGACCCCGCCGATCTGCGTGAGGGGTGCCACCGAATGCCAGAAATGTAGCACCTCCCTTGTGTTTTTGGACCCTGACCCCGCCGATCTGCGTGATGAGTACCAACGAATTCCAAAAATGTAGCAAATCCGATGTGTTGTTGCACCCTGACCCCGCCGATCTGCATAAGGGGTGCAACCGAATGTCAGAAATGTCGCAAATCCCTTGTGTTGTTGGACCCTGACCCCGCAGATATGCGTGAGGGGTGCCAGCAAATTTCAAAAATGTAACAAATCCCATGTGTTTTTGGACCCTGACCACGCCGATCTGCGTGAGGGGTGCCACCGAATTTCAGAAATGTGGCAAATCCCTTGTGTTTTTGGACCCTGACCCCGCCGATCTGTGTGAGGGGTGTCAATTTTTACCCACCCCAGCAATTCAGAGCAGGCGCTCAGGGCGTGCTAAACCTGCCCGTTTGGGCCTCCCCCCCTCGCGCGGTCCATCAACAAGGAACAGCAAGCAGCAAGAAGCAGAACTGTAACAGTGGAAATTGGAAGCTGCAACTAGCACAGGAAACTGCGAACCTTCGCCCTACAGCCTGGTGGCCCCACAAGGGGGCCGCGGATTTCATTGTCCTTGCTATTGCCTCGGTTCGTTTCGTTTCATCTTAATATGAACCACATTGTATGTCATAGCCACTACTCGTCGTGCAGCTCATCGCTTCCTTCCCTTCACATGGTACCGTAGTGTAGACTCGCGCAAATTATCCTGACATCGTTCCTGCTGCATGATGTACTCACGTCTCTTGCTGCCCCGCCCGATGACCGCAATTTCCTGGCAGGAGGCAGCCAAGCAGCAGGCTCCCAAGGGCAATCCGCAGGCCCGCGTGCCCGAAACTACCCCTCCTCTCCCGAACGCCCTCCTCCTCGTCCTCCTCCTCCTCGTCCTCCTCCTCCTCGTCCTCCTCCTCCTCCGCCTCCTCCTCCTCCTCCTCATCCTCTCCCTCATTCTCCTCATCCTCATCCTCATCCTTGTGCCGACCCAAGGTGACCAGGTGATGCCGTGGCCATTTGGGTTCAAGCCTTTCTGGCCGAGTTGCTGGGTTTGTTGACAGCGGTTGTCGCGACCCACTGGTCACCACAGGCACGGCTTTCTGTCATCAAAGCCCGCAATGTCCCCCGTTGTTCTTTGGAGATTGATGCGCCTTCCAAAGCACAAGGCGGCAACGTGGACATGCGGCTCGCGCGCTTGTGGGAGGAACCCCAGCTCGTGGTGGCTATGTAAGCACTCTGAGGATGCTTGCTTGGCAGTCCCAGCCTCCTTCTGTTTCCAAGGACCAGCAGTAGATGGCTATCAAGTGGAACGATGATGGTGACGATGATTATGTTGGAAGACGTGGCCAGCACTACCCACCAAGTCGATTGCCTTTGCCACAGATGGCCTCCCAGCCTCAGGGTGAAACAGCCTTTGTGCGTTGGCCAAGAAGCAGGAACATTTTATTATGCTCTTCAAGTACGAGCATGAGAGGGGCTCCCTGCTGGCGCTGGGGAAGCCGAAGGTAGGACCGCCTACCCCTTTGCACACCATAGCGAGCCAGGCCCAGTCCAAAATCAAGCAGTGTGGAACGCGCCTTGACACAGGACTGGACAAGCTCGACAGATGCAGGTCGGAGACTACTGAAGCGCTCGAACTGTCGATCAAGACGTTGGCGGACGAGCTGCAGGGATTCGAAAAAGTCTTACAAGGAGCTCGCGTTTCAGATCCAGGCTGAGGTCGCTCCCGATGAGGTGGAGGGCAAGCCGACGGCGACCAAGGTATTTTTGCTGGCTTCGGCTGAATCGTCGGAGACCATCGACCTCACGGATGACCTGTTCGAGGGTTTCCCAGAAGATTTGGAGGTCACGCTTGGGGACTAAAGCAGTTCGACGAGCGCAGAAATATGTAGGCTGGACAGTTCCTTGAAGCTGCAAGCAAAAGTTGTTCCGCGGTGCAAGCGATGTTTTCGCGCAGGCCGGGCGCGAGCATTAGGGGCACGTCGCCCGCCTCAGCAAGAAGAAGCGCAGGACTGGCGAAGGTGCAGCTGTTGCTGCACCGGTGGGGCCGGGGGGGGCGCCGAAGGAGCTGGAGGCGGTTTTTCAGGGGGGCGCCCACTGAGGCTGGAGGTGGAGCTTCAGCCGCGCCCCGAGGCGCAGGAGGCGCAGCGTCATCCCAGGGTTGGGCCGGTGCCGCGCAGGCTCCTGCTTCGGGAACCACCCTTGAGCGGCGGGGGCGCCTGCAGCAACTGCTGGGCCGATCCGCCGGCGATCAAGCCACCCCGCCGGCCACTGCGCGATCTGCCCAGGTCCAGGCCAGTGGGAGGTGACCAGGAGAATCTGCATCAGGAGCGGCCCTTTGTGCCCGGTAGCTCCCAGGATAACCCCGACTTCGGGAGGCACGATGTCGCAGAGTTGGGGAGGTTTTCAGATCCAATTTTGGAGAGCGTAATTTTTGGAGGACGACCCTGAGGTTGGGGATCCAGGCCCGGGTCCCAGGCCAGCCGACGACCCCAGGAGCTCGTGATCATTCCGGCAATGATAGTAAATGAGGTACCTTGCGTGATTGGTGCCGCGCAGCTGTTTCTTCACGCGTAATTAACTTTAGCTCAGGAACACCATTTGGTCGATCTCGACGCTTTGGAGCGAGCCCCCAATTGCTGCACGAACCATGGGTGGAAGTCTCTTTGGGAAGCGGCTGCCCGCGCGCCCCAGAGGGGCACTTCGGGCGGCGTCGCCATCCCTGCGCGCGACTATATGGGGCTCCACTCACCATTCATGCTCGTTCCAGGGCGCGTTCTCGGGGCTCGGGCTCATCTGCCTGGCGGGGCTCCTACGGTGCTCCTTGCATTGAACAGGTTCGGCTCGGAAGGCGTCGCGAATCGCCAGCTCGAACTCGTTCGCGACGCGGGGACTCCCCTTTCCCCGGAAGGCATGGCGCACGCTGCAGGAGGAGACCTACACGGGGAGCCACTAGTAGTCGCTGGCCTGGGCGCGCGTGGAAACGCCAAGGGTGGGGGGAGGGGCAGTCGGCCCAGCAGGACCTTCATTCGGCCTACCGCCTCTGGGGGCAAGGCAGGAGGCCGCCCGCGGAGCCCCGGGCGCGCACCTCTCCCAGGGATCACGTCGCCGCGGGCACGCACCGCGGGGCCCAGCTTGGATTGCGGGGCCCTGGATTGCGCGCGGCGCCCAGCTTTCAGGTCGGAAGCCGTGGTCAGGGCGGGCGCCCGCTCTGCCTCGGTCTTCTGGGATACGCATAAATACTAGGACTTGATTGATCTGGAGGCCTTCGAGGTCAAAGCACTCATGCAGCCCATTCCCTGGCGAATCCTCAAAAGTCTGCCTGTCGGCATACCGCTCATCACGCTACGTCTGTCTCAACGATGCATGTTCTGAACCCGTGCCTGCTACATTCGGGGCGGTTGCGGACTGCAGCATAGCCACCGCCCTTATTCTGGCGCGCACCTTTGACGCCGTCGATTCGGCTCCGGGACCACGAGTTTCAAAACCAGCGACAGTGACACCAGTGAGTTGTCGCATTCCGACGCTTAAATTGATGACGCCTGCCTGTCGGCCATAGGCAGCAGCCAGAACGATGTACTCAAATGATTGTCGAGATGGCCCCGTCTCTGGCGCATGCCATTAGAGTTCTGATTGGAAGCTGCACTCTCGACAGGGTCTCTCACGTGCTCCTGTCTGTCTCCCGGTAAGGAACTCGAAGAGAGCTTGGGCCCCGATGGCAGACCGGAGTCTTCGGCGGTCAACCTAGGATGCGATGAAGCGGCCAGTTTTTCCTTCAGGACGGGCAACGGTAGGCCCAGGAAAAGGGCCGCGAGGAAAGTCAAGCTCATTAGGATGGTCAAGCGCCTGAGGATGACCAAGGCCCACTTCGGACGCAAGGCGGCGCGAGTTTTTGGTTTTCTATGTTCCGTTGCATGGCTTCACGCATGGCGGCGAGGTGCAGGGACACGATGGGGAGATGACGAACACGCGACTCCTGGCTGCCTCGGTCATCAAGCTCTCGGCCGCCAGACGCTCTCCCACCGCGCTGTCTTTGCTCGACGCCGACCCCGCGCGGCACGGCGGGGTCGCTTCCATCCCCCGCTACTGCTCAGTGGGCCGTTTGCTTCGCATTCGGGTTTTCCTTAGCAGCCTGGACTGGGAGGTCTCTCGCGGAAGGCAGATTTCCCTGACCTGGAGGAAAGTCTCGGGCCCAATGAGCGCGTTGTGCATGAGTCTTCGCAGGACAGGATGGGACACGATCGACGCGGCCAGGGATGCTTTTGTTCAGAAAGTATTGCCCCAGGCGGAGCTTAGGAAATTGGAGCGCGAGGCCTACGCCAAGCTGGTGGAGGCCGATGTTGTTTTCGGGGTTTTTACTGTGGCTGACGAAGGGCCAGAGGTAGCCACCAGCTCAGCGCCCTCCGCAGCAGAGTTGACCACCGATCAATAGTCCCCCCAGTAGTTCCAACAGGCGATGTGTCATGATGTATTGGGCCTTCTGGGCCATGCGTTACACTCTTTGGGAGAAGGGGCGCCTCAGGGCGCTCGCGTGCAACGCCATCTGGACCAACTCGCGCGCCAGACGGGCCGGCTACTCTGTCTGCAAGCTTTGCCCCAAGTGCAAGGCCCAGGTGTTTGTTTTGTTGTTACGGGCCCTGGGAGCGCGAGGCTTGCCAGAGCGATAGAGAAGCCCGTGTCTGCGCTGAGGTGATTAGGTGGGCGTTGGAAGTACGTGATCACCCAACTAAGAAGCTCATCAGTTCCTTGATCGGAGCGTTTCCTCATCCAGGACACGCGGCTCCAGGCCCTGTTGAGGCGTCACCCGACATGGACGGAATCACGGTAGAGTTATTCGAAGAGGGGATCCTCGATGTTGGCTTGGATTCCCCAGGGCCCGACCGCAGGAAATTCATGGGTCACCCTTTCTTAGGTTTGGGTTTTCTGATGGTCTCAGAAGAGGTCCGCCTCCTGGCTCGTGTACATGGGCTTGCGCGGGCCCATCCCCCCCAGACTTCGCAAGTTGGAGAGTTCCAAAGTTCCGCGGCCGCGGGGGTGAATCTCGATGGCCATTATGGAGTTTATTCCGACTGCATCTCGGTGGTGTGCGTAAGCTCTGGGGGGCGTTCCGATCCGGTTTCGGGGCACAGGCCTTATGCAGGCTCAGCGTTGGATGTGTTTTTCCCCGGGGAGGGCTCCTGGATTAAGTCTGCTTGCAAAGGTGCCACGCACAAAAGCTTGGACGAAGAAGGGGTCAGCCCCTCAGAGAAGTTCCATGGGCAAGAGAACTTCTGGGCGGACCTGGCGGCCACAGAAGATGCGAACTCCCATCCCACTGCCAAGCCAGACGCACTCATAGTAGATATTAAGATGTCTCGCACGGCTGTCGAGCTCGGCACCCAGCTCCTGCTTTTGCGGCCGAGATCACATCTGTTTGAGGCCTTCCCTATCCGTCCTCAGAAGCTTGAGCGTGAATATGAAGCTCGGACACGAGTGGGCGTGGACGGGTGAGTGTGGGCAGTGTCTGCTGTGTCCCAGGGGCGCACGCGGAGTCGACCGCCCCCCTCCGGGATTCTGTAAGGCCTGTCACCGCCTGCCCCCGCAGCTCCTGGATTCCCAAGGTCACCAGCGCGTTGTAGCGAACCGCTCGGACGGGCCTTTGGCGGCAGCCCTGGCAGCAAGGTCAGGGAGCTCGGCGCACTGGAGCAGGTACACAGGACGGCGTGGAAGTGCGTTCCGCGAGGCCGCCACCCACAGGAGAGGAAACGGAGTAGGACTGTCCAGGCTCTTCCCTCTCCTTGGTTTGCCCCCTTTCTGCTTTGCCGGGCCCCAGCTGCCGGAGGGAGCCCAGAAGTAAGCTCCAAGCCCTCCTGCTCTGGGGGCCCAGCCGCGATTCGGTCCAGAGATCCTCGGGCGGAGCCCGAGGGCCTTCAGCTCGTTCGCCGCCCCTTGCGTGATCAGGCGGGTGGTGGGGTTGGAGTGGGCTTTTGCAGGCACGGCGCGGGCGATTGAGACAGCTCAGACCAAGTTTGCGAGGGCCAGCTGCCTCCTCTCTTGGAGGCCTGGTCTGCCAGTCTTCGCTGCACCAGGGAGCCCAGCTAACCTCGTTGCAGTGGTGGGCTCTCCACTGGTCCCCTGGAGAGTGGGTCACTCAGGTGACTGACGTCGAGCCCTGGGGGACTGCCCAACCGAGCGGCCCCCTCCCTCTTTTCTAACCCCTCCTGGTTCCACGAGAATGGGGTCACCCCCCCGAACAGTTGCGTTGAGCGCCTTTTATTCGACATGCTGTCGGGCCTCACTGGCCCGAAGCGTCAGAGAGTGTGGACTGCCTCGCGCAGCTAGGCCGCGACATGCACGAGCAGCAAAACGACCCCGACGAAGCCCAGGCCCAGCAGCAAGGCGCAGAAGGGAATGGGGCAGGGTGCTCCAGGACGGCAGTGACGGAGCCTGCGACGGTTGAGCGTCTCTTCTTTATCTCCCTCTCTGTTGCCCCTGCGCACACGCCAGCCGCGCCCGAAGCTCGCCTCTTGAACGCACCGCTTGCGAGCAGGCGGCGGGCGCACTGCCCAGCAGGTTGCCCACTGCGATTCCGATTCCGAGGCGTCGTCGTCGTGGCAGCAGGGCTCGGCAGCGCGAGGACTCCAGTAGAGAAGTGATCGGAGCGGTGGCGCTCCCTGTGCCCTCTCCTCCGACGCTAGACTCCTGCCAGTGGCATGGGCCTCATGGGGATCTCGGCCCCTCCCGGCCCGCGCGAGCGGGCGACTTGTCACCCTCGCTCAAGCTCCGTGCACATTTCGCTTGGAAGTGGCGTTCCCGCGTGGGCGCGGCACATGTGTCGCTCGCCGAGTCACACGAAGCGGAAGCGGCAGCGGGCCCACGACAGGCGTGGGAGCGCGGCGCCCGCACTTTGGACGGCCCGCTGCGCGCAGCAGAATTTCCTCCTCGCTCCTCCCGCTGGGAAGCGGCTTCCAGAGGCTGGGATCCTCGAGAGGCCGGCCGTCGCGATTTTCTGTGGCGCCTGGATCTGAGGGTGCTTCAGAGCGCAGCATCCTGCCAGGCACCGCGCGGGGGGAGAGGGCCTCCCCAGCGCGCCCCAGCCAGCCACACGCAGCGGAAAGGAAGGCCCCCGCCCGGGGCACGCAGAAGCGACGGCTCGGGAGCCCCAGGCGTCGGCAGGGTCGTGGTTCGCCGTCCTCCTCGTCTCTCCCTCTCCTCCTCCTCCCTCTCCACCTCCTCTCTTCCCTCGTCCTCCCACTCCTCCTCCTCCTCCTCCTCCTCCTCCTCCTCCCTCCTCCTCCTCCTCCTCCTCCTCTTCCTCCCTCCTCCTCCTCCTCTTCCTCCTCCTCCTCCTCCTCCTCTCCTCCTCTCCTCCTCCTCCTCCTCTTCCTCCTCCTCCTCCTCCTCCTCCTCCTCCTCCTCCTCCTCCTCCCCGCTGCACCTCGCGACCAGAGAGCCCAGCAACAGCCGATCTCGCTGATGTGAATAGTCAGGCCTCCACGGGATATATTTGTCCTCTTCGCCATGAAGAATGTCATGATGCCCAGGGGTTGAGAAGGTTTGGAGTCGACAAGGGGCAACAACAAGCGACAACATTCGAGGAAGCTGGGGGTAGAAGTCGTGTTCGAACCAGTGACGCGCAGTCCAGCGCGTGTCAGAGAGGGCGCCTCAGGTATTCTTCGAGATAGCGTTCGACGGCAAGCCCGTGGGCAAGGTCGTGTTCGAGCTGTTTGCGGACGTGGTTCCAAAGACGGCCCGAGCGCCGTGCTCCTGCATGAGGAAGAGAGGCAGGAGGGCAGACGGCGCAGGAGCGAAGGACACGTGATGCGTTCTGGGAGCACTCGAGAGGCTCGTCGGCGTGGCAGATGCGGGAGAGAGTCACGACGGACGTTTCTGGGCCGTTTTCGTCCTCTGGGCCCTCTCCGGGCCTCAAGACCATGAAAGAACGACTAGGGATGAAAAGTTGGTCACGGGGAAGGGGTCCAGACTTTTGGGGCTCCACTTCGAGAAAAATACGACGATGGAGTCCCTGGGAGGGAGGGAGGCAGAATCACGTCACTATCCGCTAGTTCCTGACGGCGGACATCAGGAAAGCCCGCTGGCCTTGTCAAATTTACATTGAATGGCCCAGCTATAGGACACATCAAGTTCCCGGGTGAGGGTCTTGATTCGTCGTAGTATCCCAGCGGGTTGGTTTTTGCAGGAGGAAGGGCCTACCAGCCACCAGCCAGCAGTGCGAGAGTCGTCGGTTGAGGGCGTCAGTTCCTATGAAATATGTTTGCTCACCCGTGGGCTTAACTGCACAGGGAAGCTGGACACACCAGAGCAGCAGCTGGATACTCGGGCGGCCGCATCTGTTTCCAGCGCCTCCCCGTCGCAGGGCAGGGCATGCCGGCACCCCCAGGCGCGCCTCGGGCGCGTTCGTCGCCCATGTGCCCTTCGCAGGTGAGCCTGGCCACGCGTGTGTCTGCTCTCCAGCCTCTTGGGGGTCCGTGTGTGCCAGGGGTTTCCGCCAGCCGCCCCTGCCTCCGCCCTGGGCCCACCGCCGCGAGACGTCCCGTGGGGCGTGCCCCGCCCCTCTGCGAGATGGCCCTCGTTCTTGCTCTGGGGGACGTCGACCCGCAGGCCGCGGTGGAGCTGCTACCAGCTCTGACGCTCGCGCCGCTGCTCACCTCGCCGCCTCCGCCGACGCCGCCGTCTCACTTGCCGCTGCCGCCGCGGCGCCGCCTGCGCTCTCGGCGTGCGCGCACGCGCGCTGGCTTGCCCCCCGCCAGCAGGCGGAGAACTTCCGGGCCCTTTGCACTGGCGAGAGGGGCCGCGGCCGCAGCGGCAAGCCGCTCCACTTCCTGGGCTCCGGCTTCCACCGCATCATCCCTGGCTTCATGTGCCAAGGCAGGGGGGCCGCGCGGCTCCAGGCCTTCCAGATGGGGGTGGGAGGATCGCGTCGCATCGCCGATGCATCGCCGATACATCGGCGATGCGGCGCGATGTGAAGCCCGATTTTCTCCACGCCGACGTCGCCGATGCATCGCCGACGTCGCCGATGCATCGCCGACGTCGCCGATGGATCGGCGATGCGGTGCAATCATCCGACCCCATTTTGTCGGACCCCATCTACGAGGCCGCTAGCAGGGGATGTCAAGAGAGGTAGACAACAAACAAAAAAACGACCCCGCTAACTGGCGTTTCATGGAAAGCCCTGGGCGTTTACTGAACAGCCCTGCCCTGTTCGTTCACTCCCTGGTGCGTTCACTAAACGGCTTTGTTTTGTCGGGGTGTTTACTATGAAGATGTCTTTTTTGTTCCCTAAGGTGGGCAGGAGACCCCTTGGACGCTGCGAAGCCTCCGCCGCTCGGAGGGTGCCGAGGGTGGAGGTCGAGGGGCGACGGCCACGACGACGGCGACGGAGAAGCAGGGAGGAGGGCTGAGGGGAAGGAGGGTGTTGGCCGCTTTCGGGCATCTTCCTGGGTCCTCTGGAGACCTCTGGGGACGGACCTCTGGCTTTCTGGAGGGGGCAGAGCAACAGATTCGGGCCCCCGCTCGCCCTCCTCTCTCCATCTCTGTATGCTTTCTCCTTGTCATGCCCTCCTCCCCCTCCGCTTCCTCCTCCTTCTCCTCCTCCTCCTCCTCATCCTTCTCTTCAAACTCCTCACACTCCTCCTCCTCCTCCTCTTCCTCCTCCTTCTCCTCCTCCTCCTCCTCCTCCTCCTCCTCCTCCGTCTCCTTTTTCGGCGCGCTCGGACGTGTAGACGTGGCCCACCCTCCCCCTCCACCCATCTATGCTTCATCCCAGTTGCCTTCCCCCCTTCTCCAGCTGCGCTGTTGCTTCGGCCGCACCGGCGCGCTCGAACTTCCTTCTGCCCCGGCGAGGCGGCGATTTTACGCGGGGCAACGGCACAGGCGGTGAGTCCATCTACGGCGAGAAGTTCAAGGACGGCCGCGGCAGCAGCAGCGACAGCGGCAGCAGCAGGAGGAGCGAGGCGGGAGGATGGGGGTCGGTCGGTCAAAGACCTCGAGTGGCTCAGTCTGCCGGTCTCTGCCAGCGGGGTGAGTGCAGCAAAGGCAGCCCCAAGAACAGAAAGGGTGAAGGGGAGGGGGTTGGAGGAGGAGGGGGAGGAGGAGGAGGAGGAGAAAGGAAGGAAGGAGGAGGAGGGGCAGGCGCGGAGGAGGGCAGCGCGAGCAGAAGTCGGAGGGGCTGGCGCCACGTACAGGCTCTGTCTGCCGTCCCACGCAGGCTGGGTTGAAGTCAACCAGGGGGGATCCGTAGATGAGACCCGCGCCACACACATTTCTGGCGGCCCCGCCCCAGGCGTCCCAGCCTTGCTGGCACGTGGCCACCTACATGTAGCACAGGGTTCGAGCCATTGTTCAGGAAATGGAGCCACCGCCCGTTTACATGTGCTCGGCTTGCCCGAGCCCCCAAGCAGTGCCATTGTCGCCCGATCGGCTTCCCAAGATCCGAGCTGCCGCATAGCAGTCTAAGCAGCAGGCATAAAGGGAATGCAGCTATAATGGAGGGAACACCTAATAAAGGTCAAGGCTGAGCAGAGGAGAAGGAGCAACATTGGAAGGAGAGGGCAGAGATGAAGATAATGCGAGGGACGAATGGAAGGCGAAGATAAAGAAAGAGCACTTCGATGTAAAACTTCTCTGCGGATCATATTTGACAGGACGAGAATTTCAAGCTGAAGCACACTGGCATGGGTTGCCTGCCATGGACTCAGTTTGTGGAGATTGCCGCGTAGTTATACATGCAGCAAATATTGTTTGCTTCGCGCGAGCGAGTGTGTTGCGTGCACTTCGGTATTGATTTCCTTTTCGACTACTAAGTGGCAGCTCGCACGAGTTTATTGGATCAAAGACACACGCACAGACGTGCACTGATTGACTTGAGGAACCCTAGAAGCCACGTGTACGCGACAACATGTGGCAACCTTTTGTGTCACGTCGATGCGGCAAGACTAACGAATGCCGAGTGACAATTTCTAACCGCAGGGCCCACCAGCACGTTCTAAACAAACCTTAGTCGACATGGGCAGTGACTGCTCTGCTTTGCCGTCCAGTTAGCAGTAAGCGAACACTTGGTGAGATGAGGTGCAGGACGTTTGGGCTGCCACAGGGAATATTGCGGCCACCGCTGTCCGGCAATCTTGTTAATTACATACAGCCATGCAGTTCGTCGTAGAAGCAACGGACACGCGTGAAGGAATTGTGTGAGGGGCAAGCTGGGTTATCCATCGAGCTTTCCAGAGAAAGCTCGTAGCATAGGCCTCCAGGGCGCTCTTGTTCCGTCTTGAGTGCACCTGTTTATTCGAATTATCCAAAACAATATTCGGGCTGTCTATGAATTTGTGATCGGTTGGCCTGAACGTATTTGCATCGCTCACCTTTCCATACAGCAGCTTGTAGTTCTGAACGCGGGCATTCGGCACGTCTCCCAGCTTGGTAGCTCCTGTTATGAAGCCCGTTTGGTGAGTTACTTGATCCACACTGGCTCGCATTTTCTGACGCGAAGGTTGTCTAAGCGGGAGTAGTGGCATTTCATGTTTCCGTTCCGTGCAACGCACCAGTCTGTATCGTAGTGTTGTTAAACTTCCGTTTGTGCCGCGCACGAATTGAATACAGATTCGCAATATTTGCGCGAAGCGCATGCGCAAGCACATCATAATGTCGCATTCGCCGTATTCTTCACAGCACCTTGAAATCTAGATTTGGATGTGAAACCATGCGTCGACGGCATACATATCCGCACAATTTCTTTGCAGCACCGTGTTAGATCGAGATTCGCGCAACAAGTCTGCATTATGGGTGCAGGCGCTGACTTCCAATTTCTTGACAAGTACTGTAACTTGAGATTGAGCGGATTTGAGTGCGAGCTCCTGAGGTTTGGAGATGTACGTGAAAATGTTGTAATGATGTGCCTTGAAAATTGTGCTACGTTCTGGAAAGTGTTGCTCTTTGCGCAATACTTGGCTCCAACAAAAGTTTCCTTGGAAACTCGCAATCGGGAGAATATGTATGTATACCCGTCAGCAGGATGAAAAGTCGCGCGCGCGTGCTCAGCGCTCCCACGCACGCGATCCCAAGACGCCCCATGGCCACCACATGCTTCCACGAGGGCCTCAGGCCACGGACGATAACGTCCAGACGACCCCAGGATGATGCCACCCCAACACGATCCCGCAATGGATTCTGGACCGTCTCAGGCCGACTCGCAGATGACGAAACACATGAGCAACGTGTGACGCCGAGATGGCCCGATGGCAACAAGATGGATCCAAGCGCGCCCAAGGTGGCCCCAGAATGACCATGCGACGACTGCGTGATCCAAACGCGACCGGGAGATGATCTCAAGATGACCTCAAGACGGCCCCAACACGGCAAGGATACTGCAATTTATGACCCCCCTTTTACTTCGAGCCAATCCCAGCATGGCGGGATCCGTGAACGACCCGGGATTTTATTCTACCCCATTTTTAATGGGTGGGATTTTAATCGTCCTGAATTAAAGCGGACTAAGCCAGGCGGGATCCCGCCCGGCCCACGGAAGAAGCTTACGTTGCTAGGCTTCTACGGGGGTAGGTTGGTTCGGAAGGCGCGTCGTCTACTTCCGCTGACATCCGCAAGCCTTCCGACGGCTTTCCCCAGTCTTCCGCCTCGTTTTACTTCCGTCGACTTCCGCCGGCCAGCGTCGTGATGAAAATTCCAGGAACTTTTCATTGGGCCGATGTATTATCATCAATAATATTACATCCTGATACGGAATACAAACAAAGAAGCTAATGTGTTGTATGATTTCTGGGGTCCGCAAAGGTACATTACAAGCAATGCCGTCGTTTCATTTGTAACGACGATTACATAGTACGTTGTTGGTGCGCATAAGTGTCGAAGGTTCCCAGGCTTTCTTCCGTAAGAAAAGGCACAAGCGGAGTAAATGTTTGACAACGATCGCATTCCGCCAATGTCATTCGTCTTCTTGTCGGTCGCAGTAAAACAGGTTGCGGTATGTTTTTCGGGGCGACGCCGCAATGTAGTTCTTCTTGGACGCATGCATGCGTGGTGTGGTCATTTGTTCCTGCTGCCGCGGGGTTGATAACAAGTAGTCGAAAGAAATAGGCATATATATATATGCAGAGATAATTGCATACATATATAGATATGTAAATATACACTTACAAATATGTGTATATATACATGATTCATACATACATACATACATACATAAATGCATGCATGCATGCATGCATACATACATACATACATACATACATACATATATACACACATACATACATACATACATGCATACATGCATACATGCATACATGCATACATGCATACATGCATGCATACATACATTCATACGTCATATAGTCAGCATATAGATGAATAGCCCCCCTCGGCCTCGGCCGGCCCATCCCGCAACCATCGGGGGAAGCCCGTTGATACCCTTTCGCCTCGTTCTCCAGAGGCGGCCCGGAGAGGCCAAGACGGTGCCAAAACGAGCCAAGAGGGTTCCAAGAGGCCCCCAAGACGGTGCAAGAAGGTCCCCATACGGCCCAGGAGAACTCCCAGAGCACCCTCAAGAGTGACCCAAGAGGCCCTAGTCGTTAAATTCATGTGGAAAACGTACATGTTTAGCATGTACGACTTTTCAGCTTTCGCGGCTTCAAGACGGTCCAAGAGGCTCCCAAGACTTCCCCAAGACAGCCCAAGACGTTTCCAAGAGGCCCCCGAGCCAGCCCAAGAGGGCGCCAAGACGGCCCAAGGGCCGTCTAAGACAGCCAAGTTGGCCCCAAGACGGCGACGAAGACGGCCCAAGAAGGTCCCGAGTAGCCCAAGACGGCCCAACATGGCCCCAAGACGGTCCAAGAAGGCTCCCAGGCGTCCCAAGAGGCCTCCAAAAGCATTCCCAGGAGGGCCCCCCAAGAATCGACAATCGTTGAACTCCTACGGGAAAACGTACATGTCTATCATATGCGATTGTTCGGCTTTCACGGCTTTGAAGACGGCCCAAGATGCTCCCAAGATTTGCCCAAGCGACCAAGCGACTTACGACACAGCCCAAGAGGGGGCCGAGACGGCCCAAGGGCTGCCCAAGACGGCCCAAGTTAGCCCCAAAACGGGCGGGCCCCAAGCAGGCCCTGAGTCGCCCGAGATTGCCCAAGATGGCCCCAAGAAGGTCCAAGAAGGCTCCGAGACGCCCCGAGAGGCCTCCAGGAGCACCCCCAAAAGGATCCCAAAAGACCTAATTCGCTACATTCCTGTAGGCGAAACCTACATGTTTAGCATACCTATACGACCACCCTTCGGGTGATAAGGAGGTTGTGTGGGGGGAGGGGCCAGAGGGGGGGGAACCAACATCTGATTCAATCGATCTCACTATCGATCTCACTCAACGGGGCACCACGGGAAACTTCTCGATCTCACTATCGATCTCATTCAACGGGATACCACGGGACCCCACGGGACACTTGTCGATTGTACTATCGATCCCATTATCGATTACACTTTTTGGGACACCACGGGACACTTCGGGGCACCACATCGATCTCAGTATCGATCTCACTATCGACCTCACTTCAGGGGACACCACGGGACACTTGTCGATCTCATTATCGATCCCACGATCGATCTCACTCAACGGGAACCACGGGACACCGATAGGGCCGCCGCCCGACGGAGGAGAATCATTTGCTTTGATTTCGCCCCAGCGACGGCGGACACCACAGGACACCACGGGACACCGCGACGGCCACCGCGGGACGGAGGATAATCAGTTGTTTTGACGTCGCTCTAGCAGCGGCGGACACCACGGGGCACCGCGGCACACCGCCAGGGCCACCGCCGGACGGACGGAGAAGAATCATTTGTTTGGATTTCGCCCTAGCAACGGCGGGTTCATACTTCTCTCGCGCCCACGCAACATCGCCTTGCCCGCACGCACGACACGAACGAAACGAAACGATTTCCGGGTTGGAGGTCTCCGTTCCGCTGCGATCTCCCCCCCCCGACTTCCGATTCGAGTCTGGATCTTCACGGCTTCGAAGACGGTTTTGACAGACCTATGGATAGTACATACACACAGCTTATATATATAATATATAATATATATATAATAATATATATATAATATATCTATATATATTATATATACTACATACATACATACAGACATACATATATAACATATATACATATAAATGTGAATATATATATATACACACACACTGAGAAACCCCGCCGCAGGCGCCAAAAAGAATAAATTATGAAATTCTTCACGCTTCGCGTATCCCCACCAGCCCATCCCCAAACAGCAACGCCAGCGAAGCATGCCGACAGTCGTGTTTTTCAGGCGTGTTTCTGCCAGCTCTCGCATATATACCCTGTTCCTATGTCCTCCTGCCGCCTTGTACATCCACCTAGTGGGGGGAGCGGTAGTAGTAGTTATAGTAGTATTAGTAGTAATAGTAGTAGTAGTAGTAGTAGTAGTAGTAGTAGTAGTAGTAGTAGTAGTAGTAGTAATAGTAATAGCACTAGCAGTAGCAGTGCCAGTAGCAGTAGCAGTAGCAGTCGTAGTAGAATTAGTAGTGGTAGTAGTAGTACTAGCAGTAGTAGCAGTAGTAGCAGGAGCAGTAGCAGTAGTTGTAGTAGTAGTAGTAGTAGTAGTAGTAGTAGTAGTAGTAGTAGAAGTAGTAGTGGTAGTAGTAG